GTATGCTGTAATACACGCAGATAATTTAAATGTAGAAATGCGTAAAACTTCAAAAACTTCTTAAAATACATCGTGAAGATTGGAAAGTGTCTGAATGTCTTTCAATTTTTTTCCAGAATATCATTAAAATTAGTAAAAAGGAGCAAAAGCGGAAGCCATTTTATATTCAATGTAATGTCGATGGAAGAGCTCCCACCATGCTTTGCGGCACCAAGAATGGCGTTTAAATGCATGTTTTGTGACAATTATTGTCTTATTTCTTTTGGATACATCATTTATTCAGTCATTTTTTTCTCTCTTTTCATCATCAGCTTAGATTCATTTCAATTTGCTTTCATAAATGTGTTTAAAAGTGGTACCGTGACTGTACTGGAAGTTCGGATTGGAGGGGTGCGATGGCGCGGCGTGTCCACCGGAGGGAGACATTTTCAGGCTTTTGGAGATTGTGGCTTTTTTTTTTTTTTTTCGAATAGCTCCCACCATGCTTTGCGGCACTGAAAATCCCGTTTAAATACATGTTTTGTGATAATTCTTTTCTTATTTGTTTTGGATACATTATTTATTCAGTCGTTTTTTTCTTTTTCATAATCAGTTAAAATTGATTTCAATTTGCTTTCATAAATGTGTTTAAAAGTGGTACCGTGATTGTACTGGAAGTTCGGATTGGAGGGGTGCGATGGCGCGGCGTGTCCACCGGAGGGAGCCACTTTCGTGTCTTCGGAGATTGTGGGTTTTTTTTTGTTTTGTTTTTTTTTCAGAATAGCTCCCTTTCGGAGTTTGCGGCTTTGTTCTTTTTTTTTTTTTTTTTGCGGAATAGCTCCCACCATACTTTGCGGCACTAAGAATTGTGTTTAAATGCCATGGTTTGTGACACTTTCTTATTTGTTTTGGATACATCATTTATTCAGTCTTTTTTTTCTCTTTTCATCATCAGCTTAGATTAATTTCATTTTGCTTCATAAATGTGTTTAAAAGTGGTACCATGATTGTACTGGAAGTTCGGATTGGGGGGTGTGATGGCGCGTCGTGTCCACCGGAGGGAGCCACTTTCATGTCTTCGGAGATTGTGGGGTTTTTTTTGTTTTGTTTTTTTTTCAGAATAGCTCCCACCATGCTTTGTGGCACTAAGAATCGCATTTAAATGCATGTTTTGTGACAATTATTTTCTTATTTGTTTTGGATACATTATTTGTTCAGTCGTTTTTTGTCTCTCTTTTCATCATCAGCTAAGATTGATTTCAGTTTGCTTTCCTAAATTTGGGTTTTAATGTGGTACCGTGATTGTACTGGAATTTCGGATTGGAGGGGTGAGATGGCGCGGCGTGTCCGCCGGAGGGAGACACATTCAGACCTTCGGAGATTGTGGCTTTGTTTTTTGGAAGACAATTCAATAAACGAGTTGATCGATGGAAGTACGAAGAGATAAAAAGCAGGTGAGACGACAGGGCAGAATCGTTTCTCATGCCCTCATTAGTTTTGTGGCTGGTAAAGGTTCCCCAAACCAGGTCGACGAGCACAAAGCGCACCTTCGATGATTCAAATGGTTTGGAGGGGTGCGATGGTGCGGTGCGTCCACCGGAGGGAGACACATACAAGCCTTGGGAGAGTGTGGCTTTGAGGTAGATCATTCAACATGAGTTGATACGTGGACGAATTTGGAATGAAAACCTAAATCATCCAACAGCTAGTGGTATGACAGCAAAGAATTCTTTGCGCATGCCATCGTTGTTTTTGCTGCTGCGAAAAGGCTCCCAAGGGGGTGTCAACGAGCAGAGGGGAAGCCCTATCCAAAATGGAGGGGTGCAATGGGGCGACGTCTCCACCGGAGAGAGCCATATTCAGGGCTCGGAGATGCTGGTCTTTCTTTTATTTAAGACGATAATTTAGTCGATGAGTTGATAAACGAAAGATTGAAGAGAAACAAGCACCCGACTCATTCAACAGCTCGTGATATGACAGGACATTAAATGAGTTAATGAGGTAATATCTGACACTCTTTCCTGTATGTCTGCCACTGTTATGGTAACTGGGTTGTGTTCAGGGAGGTTGCTGTGCTCCTCTCTCAGGGTCACCAGCCATTGTGCACTGCTGTTATGTGCAACCTCCTTCTCCCATATGCCTTTGCAGTTTCCAGTCTTGGTGGGTCAGCTCTGCTGTTAGGACCCTGCCACTGAGCGTACACTTTGGCAGGTTGTGTTGCGAACAGACTGTTTATTCGTCTGGCCTCATTCTCTTTCGTGTACCTCTTTAGGCGACTGGACAAGGCTTGGACTCGTGATCTGTGTCCTGTATCCTGACTTGTTCTCGTCTGCGTACTAGGGCTAGCGAGAAGGCCTTACGTCGAGACTGGCCGTGCGCGTTTGGTGATTGGATTAGCGCCTTTTCTGTTTCCTGAGAATTGTATCCTGACTTGTTCAATAAAGATTTAAAAAAAAAAAAA